ACCAGTCGATCCTAAAGGAAATCAGTCTTGAATATTCACTGGAAGGACTGATGCTGAAACTGAAGCTCCAAAACTTTTCGAAGAACTGACTCACTGGAAAAGACCCTGATGCTGGGAAAGATTGAAGGCAGGAGGAGAAGGGGGCAACAGAGGATGAGATGGTTGGATGGCATCACTGACTCAATGAACATGAGTCTAAGCAAATTCCGGGAGACCATGAAGGACAGGGAAACCTGGCAAGCTGCAGTCCATGGGGTCGCGAAGAGTCAGACATTACTGAGCGACTGAATAACAATTTTAAAAAGAGAAAACCTAGAAATTAAAAAGGTCTTGGGAGTACTTTGTGACATGTGAAAATTATATGAACTCCAGAGCTAGGAAGAAAAGCCACGACAAACCTAGACAGTGTGTTAAAAAGCAGAGACGTTAGTTTACCGACAAATGTCCATATATCAAAGCTATGCTTTCTCTAGTAGTCATGTTCAGATGTGAGAGTTGGACCACAAAGAAGGCTAAGCACCAAAGAATTGATGCTTTTGGACTGTGGTATTCAAGAAGACTCTTGAGAGTCCCTTGTACAGCAAGGAGATCAAACCAGTCGATCCTAAAGGAAATCAGTCTTGAATATTCACTGGAAGGACTGATGCTGAAACTGAAGCTCCAAAACTTTTCGAAGAACTGACTCACTGGAAAAGACCCTGATGCTGGGAAAGATTGAAGGCAGGAGGAGAAGCGGGCAACAGAGGATGAGATGGTTGGATGGCATCACTGACTCAATGGACATGAGTCTAAGCAAATTCCGGGAGACCATGAAGGACAGGGAAACCTGGCAAGCTGCAGTCCATGGGGTCGCGAAGAGTCAGACATTACTGAGCGACTGAATAACAATTTTAAAAAGAGAAAACCTAGAAATTAAAAAGGTGTTATTTCATTAGAAAATATTTATCAACTAAAAAAATGAAAGAACTGAAACCAGCAAAAGGCAGGGTTGCCATGAGGGTACATGCAGGAGGGACCTGGGCCTGAGACCCCAGGTCAGGTGTGAAGGAGACAATGTCAGACCCCAGTCTGTCCGCAGACAGGTGGATGGCCGAGAAACCCCCCCATGGGGCATTCACACTGTACCTCACCAGGACCCAGGGCAGGCCCAGGGTTTCCACAGATTAGAGCCAATGCACCCAAACTCAGAGATCACCAAATACACAAGGCAACAAAAAGGAGAGGGTTTTTTCACCCCAAAAGATGCCACTTTGGTACAAGGATTATTCTGACCTAAAGGCAATCAAAACCCAGCAGGTTCAGGAGCTTCTCCTGAACTTCCCTTCAATTGCTTATGTTTATACTTCGGGGGGTGGGGGGGCCTGGGTCAAAAGAGTGTTTCACCCAAGAAACACCCACACAGCAGGGCAGGTCTCCTCTCCCTCCCAGCAAAGGCCTCCTCTGCCTCCCCACATCCTGACCCACCCTCCACCCACCAGGCCTTACAGAAGCCTCAGCCCCTTGATTCCTTGTGGGCCCCCACTGCTTCACAGGGCTCCCATCACACAGAATAACATTTGTTTTTCTCCTATTAATCTGCCTTACATCAGTTTAACTCTCAGATCACCCAAAGAACCTAAAAGCAAAGAAAGGACCATTTCTCCACCCCTAGTGATAAACCTCGTGGCTCAGCAGAAATGCAGGAGACGTGGGTTTGATCCCTGGCTCGGGAAGATCCCCTAGAGGAGGAAGTGGCAACCCACTCCAGTGCTCTTGCCTGGAGAATCCCATGGACAGAGGAGCCTGGTGGGTTACAGTCCATGGGGTTGCAGAGTTGGACACAACTTAGTGACTAAACAGCAATAGGGATAAACCACCGCAAAATGTGTTAATATTAATATTTTCATCTTAGCATCTATTACTATTGTGATGTTGTGACATATAATAAGAAAGATGTAGTTGGCGTTCACAGAGCTGACACAGAGCTACTAAAACTCCTTGGAATATCCTGTTGGGGGAGCAATAACGTGTCTTTTGTTATGTTAATGAGGTGATTTTTGAAAGCACCTCAGGAGAGGGCTGCTTGCTTATGTCACCAATCCAGTAATTTCAGGGCCAGCACTTGAAGTCCTGCCCCTGATCTCAGGAGAAGGAGAGGAGCTGGAGGCTAAGTACAATCACCAGTGATTTAATCAATAGTGTCTAAGTGTCAGAGCCACCAAAAAACCCAAAGAGGGAGTTCAGAGAGCCTCCAGGTTAAACAGGATTGAACAGGATATTCAGGGAGAGGGGACACCAGAGGGCAGGAAAGCTCCCTGCCCACCACATGTCTCCTATGTATTTCTTCATCCTGCTGTTGATTGGAAGTGAAAGAGGAGGGAAGGACACAACCTTTAAAACAATGACACAGTCTGAGGACATGATATAAACAGCTAAGAACCAAACCAAACAGGTCCAAGATGGCAGGCAAGTTGACTTCCACTGGACCTTAAGCCTCAGTGTGTGAAAGTGAGTCACTCAGTTGTGTCCGCCTCTTTGCAACCCCATGAACTATACAGTCCATGGAATTCTCCTGGCCAGAATACTGGAGTGGGTAGCCTTTCCCTTTTCCAGGGGATCTTCCCAACCCAGGGATCGAACCCAGGTCTCTCACATTGCAGGCAATCGCTCTAACACATCAGCATGCTAAGTGACACACTCCCAGGTGCCATGACAGTCCCCATCCCATCCCCAAAAGAGCTGGAATACTCCTCCCACTCATCAGCCTATGAAATTACCCACCCCTATAAAATAAGTAAGGTGTTGCCGTAGTAAAGAATCTGCCTGCAATGCAGGAGACCAGAGTTTGATCTGTCTGGATCCCTGGAGAAGGAAATGGCAACTGGCTCCAGTATTCTTGCCTGGAGAATTCCACAGACAGGGAAGCCTGGCGGGCTACAGACTGTGGGGTTGCAAAGAGTCGGACATGACTGAGCACATGAAAGCTAACAACCCTCTACCCTGGGGTGGCTCTCGCCTTCTGAGATGGTCCCCACTCTATCTGTGAAGTGTGTTTCTCTCTAAATAAATCCACTTCCCTATCACTTTGTCTCTCACTGAATTCTCAATGAGACATAAAGAACCTGAGCTTCTTAAGTCTCGAGACCAGGTGTGTGATCTCAGTTAAAAGACCATGGGTTCAAGTCCCAAGCTTGAGTTGCTTGGTTGCAGTAACCCTAATTCCATTTGTAATAAACCAGGAATCCACTGAGTAACTGGTCTCCTGAGTCTGGGAGCCACTCTAGCCAGTAAAGCAAACCCAAGAAGGGATGGTAGGAACCACAGCCACTAGGCAACTGGACTGAGCTGGAGTCTGAAGTGTCAGCGGCAGGGCAGCCCTGTGGGGTGGAGATCCCCACCTGTCAGACATGATGCTGTCTCAGGGCTGAGCTGAGTTGCAAGACACACACTGGGGTCAGAGAACAGCTTGGTTTGGGAAGGCCCACACATCAGGAGTGGAGACCAGAATCGCAACTTTTAAACATGTGGGTTGAGAATCTTTTGTAAAGAGCCACATTGTAGTATCTTAGGCTTTGTGGCCACATGAGGTCTTGCCTTGTGGGGGTCACTATGAGAATTCATACGGCAGGATCACCAGGCTGAACTTGTCCTGTTGGGAAGGACTAGCTTTGTCTTGTTCATCCACGTGTCCCTGGTGAGTAGCACGTGCCTGGAAATAGAGGTCTGTGTGCCAAGTCCCCCTCCTTCCCTAATGGCACAGAACAAAGCATTGGGGAGTGTTTAGCTTTATGGTGGTTGTTTCATTTTTTGCTTTTTGTTTCTTTCAATTGATGTTTCATCTGTTGTTGTTCAGTTGCTCAGTTGTGTCTGCCTCTTCACAACCCCATGGACAGTAGCACGCCAGGCTTTCCTGCCCTTGACTGTCTCCCAGAGTTTGCTCAAACTTCTGTCCACTGTGTTGGTGATGCCATCCAACCATCCCATCCTCTGTTGTCCCCTTCTCCTCCTGCCTTAAATCTTTCCCAGCATCAGGGTCTTTCCAGTAAGTTGGCTCTTCACATCAGATGGCCAAGGTATTGGAGCTTTAGCTTCTGAATCAGTCCTTCCAATGAATATTCAGGACTGATTTCCTTTAGGATTGACAGGTTTGATCTCCTTGCCGTCCAAGGGACTTTCAGAAGTTTCCAGCATCACAATTAGAAAGCTGTTTCACCTAGTCACCAGCTACCTGTTACTCTATGTAAGAAGCAACTTTACTTCTCTGGGTTTTGGGTTCTTATCTGCTATACAACAAAGTTGACCTAAGGTATGTAATTTCTTGAGGCCTAGAGCCTGACATCATGCCCTATATATTTGTCTTCTCAAAGAGCCAATGATAAAGCATCTTCTGTTACACAAAATGCACAAATTAATGCTCATGGCTATGCCCCCAACCAGGAGAGTAACTACCTGACAAGCCTGAGATGATCAGAGCCGTTATCAGTAATGGCATCATAGGGGGGCAACCCATGAATTAATTTGTCCTTCTGTCTTTGGCCTCCCTGTCTCCGCCTTTTTCCTTTGGTTCCTATTCTTTTTCTTCCTGAGGTGGTCCCTAAAATGCTACCCTCCGTGGGCTCAATGCTCAGCATCTGCTAGGTCTGCATACTCTCACACCTCAAACAACACTTGTCCCAGTTAATTCCAGTCCTGCCATGCAGAGCAACAGGTAAGAACACACCTGGGGCCCTCAGGACCTCTGTGCCCACAGGGGAGGGCCAGTGCAGCTCCCGGGCATGTGGCACAGAACCGTTCACCAGCTCTTGGGCTGCAAGTCGAGGGTCTACACTGGGTTCCTCCAGCCCCCTTGCACATCTCTACCCCCGGAAGTCTGTCCTCACAGTCTGAGCCCCTGATGTGGGGTGGATCCACGTCTCACTCAGCCTGGCTTCACCGGCTCTGAGACTGTGACCCCACAGGAGAAGGAGGACTCGAATAGATAGGCTGAGGCCGCAGGGCCTCTGCATGTGCAGGGGACTCACCTGAGGCTGACCAGCGCATCGGTCACCTGCCGAGGCTCGATGTCGAACAGTTTGACCCTGAAGCCCGCGCTGGCGAACAGCATGGCCCAGCTCCGCCCGATTAGCCCGCTGCAGGGAGAGAAGGAAGAGGCGCAGGTCAGCTGGAAAGTGGAGCCACTCCACGCCAGCCCAGGGTGAGTCTCAGAGCACACAGCATCCTGTTACTGAAACACCTGATGGCTTACAACTCCACATTTTGACAGCAGTATCCACTTAAAATGTTGCTTCCACACAAGAGGTCCTGGGTCTTCACTGCAGTGCCCTCCAGACCTGGGGGCAGCTTGGAGGGGCAGGGTGTCCACGCACCATGCCAGGGACCCCCAACAGACCAGTGTCAGCTGAGTCCCGGACTGGAGAAAAAAGGCAGCATCTCCCCTGCTGCTTCAGTTTTTCCTACCGCCACCAGCACTAAAGATGATGATGTTAAAACTGTACACATCTTACCTCTATTAATCTGAAAACAACCCCACAAGGGAGATGCTAAATTTTTTGTATATATTTATTTATGTACTTGACTGCACCAGGTATTAGTTGAGGCATGGAGAATCCAGTTCCCTAACCAAGAATGGAACCTGGGCCCCTGTATTGGTTTGTTGAAATCCAAGAATGAAATACAAAAACTTAACCAGGTTTCAGCAGTTAGTTCACACTCCCCAGCAACCTATAGGGTTGAGAGAGAGAAAGACAAGAGATAAGGAGGGGAGACAGGAGAGAGAAAGGGGCCAGAGGGGACAGGAGGGGAGAGGGAGGAAGGAGGGAGAAAGGAAGGGAAGCTGGGCTACCCCAAAAGTGAAGATGGCTGCTTCCTGAGGTATTAAAGCTGTGGGAAGGTCAGTCAGTCGGTTCAGTCGCTCAGTTGTGTCCGACTCTTTGCCACCCTAGGGACTGCAGCAGGCCAGGCCTCCCTGTCCATCACCAACTCCAAGACCTTACTCAAACTCATGTCCATAGAGTAGGTGATGCCATCCAACCATCTCATCCTCTGTTGGCCCCTTCTCCTCCTGCCTTCAATCTTTCCCAGCATCAGGGTCTTTGCCAATGAGTCAGTTCTTTGCATCAGGTGGCCAAAGTATTGGAGTTTCAGCTTCAATGTCAGTCCTTCCAATGAACACCCAGTTTCATCAAGAGGATCTTTAGTTCCTCTTCACTTTCTGCAATTTCTTGCAGTCAATCTACTTAATTCCTTGTCAGCCTCCCCTGGGGAATTGGAAATAAAGTGACTCCCAAAGCACGGCTCCTTTGGACAACAATTAGAGCTGGAGAAGGGCACAGTGGACCCTGGAACAACAGGAGCTAGACTCCCCGGGGCCCACCTATAAGCAAGCTTTTTAAAATGGTAAATCCTACAAAACTTGGGATCTGCCATTGGGTATCACTGATGCAGAGGAACTGACGGTAAATTACACTGGCTTCTCTGGTGGGAATGGACAGGGGGGTGCCCTCCACCTGCCAGTGGTCCAAGGGTCCCCTGTACCATCAACTCTAGACTCCACCGAACACTGTTGGGTGCAGCAGCAGGCCAGTCCCAGCCCGTGGTTGATACACACTTGACCGTGACAAAGGCTGCAAGGCAAGCAAGGTCACCACGCCCAGGACAAAGTGCACTTTCTTCTATATTTTATATCCCATTAGGAGGCAGCGGGTCGCCCTCCTGCCTGGAAAGCACACAGGCACAGGTAAGGCCATTGCTCCCTGCCAAGGAAAGTGACAAAGCACCCTGACCCCTTCCTCGAAGGGGCTTCAAGGAGGGGCCCCGGACACGACTTATTCTCAGGACGGCGATTGTGACTGATCAGGCGGGCCAGCCCCTCGGCGGCATAACCCGACACCGAGCCTCCTAGAAGGTGTGCTTGATGACCAACAAGTATCGACAAGTGGGTAGTTCGCTATGCCAGCTTACCAATGCAAAGGTGCACGTGGACGCCTTCTTTAAAAAATGAAAACTGCAGGAGTTTTAAAAGAGGATGGAGCATCAACCAGGAAACCGTGGATGGGACTTGAGCTGCTAACCCGACACCCAAGCCTCGGAGAACCCGGATGCCCTGGGGATAGGGTGCCCTCGCCATTCAGGAGGCCTGGATCCGGATCCTGACCGCGCGGTGGGTCCCCACCCCTCCCCGGCCAGGCGGGGTCGCCCAGCGACAGCCACAGGCCCGAGCGCGCGCCTCGCCTGACCCAGATCGCGGCTCCGCAGCCCCTCTGCGCGCCCGTCCCTCGGACGGGAAAGGAGACAACACACCTGTGCGGACCCGCGGCCCGCGACAGCCCTGCGTCCGCTCGTAGCGCCAAAAGCCACCGTCCCCGCCCGGCCTGCATCACCCAACTCCGCCCGTAACCGCATAGCGAAGCAGCCGGGCTGCCGCGGGGGCCCCACGGAGCTGCGCCCCCCGCCGTCGCCCGGCCGGCCCGGTCCTAGGGAGGCGCGCTGGGGTCATTGGAGTCGCGCCGCCAGCCTCCCCTCGCCGCCCGGGCAACGACGCCCGGGCCCACCTGCCACCCTCCCGGGCACGCGGGTTCGAGCCCTCACCTGCCGACCACCGCCACCCCGCCGGGCGCCGAGGACACTGGGGACGCCATGGCCCGCGCGGTGCCCGAGGAGACAGCTGCGGCGCGCGCCACTCGGGCACTGGCTCCGCCCGCCCCGCGGCCGCGAAAGGGCCCCGGGGCCTGGCCCGTGGGTGGGGCGCGGGCGGAGCCTCCACCTCTCCACGCCCCGCGGGCGCGCAGGGCTCCGGGCGGGGCTAGAGGGGCTAGTGGGGCTGTGGGCGGGGCGGGCAGGGAGCCCGGGACTTGGGGGGTGGGGGGAGCGGCTTGGACCTTCGGGCGTGCGGAGCACTCGCCTCCCTCTCCCCGGAGCGCGCACGGAGGAGGTGCCGGGAGCGTCACGTGGATGGGGGCCGGGTGGGAGAGCCACCCCTTCGGACTCTAGTGACTCACTTTGTTTTGGTCAGTTCCCTACTGAACCCCCAAAGTCCGCGCACAAGGAGGGGGACACCTCCAGACCACGACAAGGTGCGACCGCTAAAGGAACCCCCAAACTTAACCCTGGAATTCCCTTCCCATGTGAAGATTTAGCACCACGTCCGGGCGCACGAGTTAAGGATCCACTGCTGGGTTCACACTGTCGTCGGTTTCGAGGAAGACCCGCCTTTCTCCACAGAGGAGGCCGAGGCCCGGGAGCCCTGGGACGGCAGACAGGAGGGCTGGGGGGCGGGAGGGGGTGTCCACCACACTGGAAGGCTCGGAGGCCCCTCACGGAGGCCGAGCTGGTCTCTCCTCCAGGAGGAGGAAGTGTCCCCGCGCCGCCCCGGGCTCTTTTCGGAAACAGCGGAGGAACAGGCGCACGTGCCCGTGACCACGCGTCCGCGCAGCCCCAGAGGTGGGGCCACGCCAGCCATCCAGGTCAAGGCAGCGCTCCAGCGGAAACGCAGGGCCCTTCCTCTGTCTTCCCCAGCCCAGACGGAAAGAGGAATGTCAGAGCCTAGAGCAGTTTCACAAGGTATCGGTCAGCATTTGAAAAGGCACTCAACTCAAGAGAAAAGTGACACAGCAAAGATGTCCCCAAGATAAGGCTTTAAATGTTGAAATAACTATGCGTGGGGGCTTAGTTGCTCAGTCCTGTCCGCCTCTTTGCGACCCCATGGACTGTAGCCCACCAGCCTCCTCTGTCCATGGGATTCTCCATACTGCAATGGAGAATATAGAAGACTGGAGTGGGTTTCCATTTCCTTCTCCAAGGGATCTTCCCCACCCATGGATCCAACCCACGTCTCCTGCATCGCAGGCAGATTCTTTACCAGCTGAGCCACCAGGGAAGCCCTCACATAGCTATTTGGATTTATAATGAAGCCCCAGCTCCTGTGCTGCCTTCACCACAAATTACCCGAAAATTTGTCTTCTTTTAAGTAGCCAAGCCCCACTTCCTCTCTGAAGCTGTGACTACTAGACCGGGTGTTGGGTGACTGCTCTTTTCCTAAAGCATCTGAACTTCCTGCAAGCACCTTTTGGTCCACTGAGTCATTCATTCACTCAAGTTTCTACCATAAAAGCCACTGTATTAGGGTCAGCTTAATGTTTAGTCTTCAATTAAATTGTAAGCTTAAGGTTAAGAACCATACCTCTTTTTCTCCTTACTAAGCACATACTCTTTTTTCTTTTTAATATGTATTTATTTATTTGGCTGTGTCAGGTCTTAGTTGCATCATGCGGGATCTTCATTGCGGGGCACAGACTCTCTGGTTGTGGCATGCAGGCTCAGTAGTTGGCCCCCATCACCACCACGTTCTCCTTGCTTTGCTCCCTAATGAAATTTGTCTGCTACAAACTCCAGCTGTGTGGAATTGTTTAGCCTCACTTGCCTTCAGTAATACAGGGAGGGCAGATGGGCCTGGGGGGTGGGGGGAGCCCCACTGCTCCTAGGGGGTCCTCCTGCTCCGCAGCTACAGAGCACCCTGTCTCCCCCACTTGGGCCATGTTGGACTCCAACGTAACAGCCATCTCCTGGCTTCTATTCAATCTGTGACTTTTTCCTGGCTCCTTAGATTCCCCAGCAGGAGTCAAATCAGTTCACTTCAGTTCAGTCGCTCAGTCATGTCCAACTCTTTGCAACCCCATGCCAGGCCAGGCCTCCCAGTAGCATGCCAGGCCTCCCAGTCCATCACCAACTCCTGGAGTTTACTCAAACTCATGTTTATCGCGTCATGGGGGATGCCACCCAACCATCTTATCCTCTGTCACCCCCTTCACCTCCTGCCTTCAATCTTTCCTAGCATCGGGGTCTTTTCCAGTGAGTCATCTTTTCACATTAGGTGGCCAAAGTACTGGAGTTTCAGCTTCAACATCAGTCCTTCCAATGACTATTCAGGACTGATTTCCTTTAGGATGGACTGGTTGGATCTCCTTGCAGTCCAAGGCACTCAAGAGTCTTCTCCAACACCACAGTTCAAAAGGAGTCAAATACTCATCCTCTATCTCCCAACCCTCAGTTCTCTGAGTGGTCTCTTTCGGTCCACTTTTCCCTCTGTCCACCCACAGTCCTCGTGGCAGGTAGAAGAGCATGGATGGCTTCTCACCCCTACCCCCACCATCCTTCCTCTGCCTCCTTTGAGTCCAGCTCCCATCCTTTACCCCAAGGCTAGTTAGGAACCAAAGTTCTAAACTCTCCTGACAGCTTACTCTGGAAAAAGTGATCTGTGGTGAGGATTAGCGTTAGTTAGCAATTCACCTTTACAGATCTGATGTCTGATGTCTTAGAGTACTGACTGTAATTCTCAACGTAACATCTTGCTATGAAGACCACAGTTACAGGTCAGCATCAGAAAGGCTCGGTGGTACCATGGTCAGCAATGGGGGCTCCAGAGTTGGCCTGCAAGGGCTTCCATCTCAGATTCTCCATCCCATACTATGTGATCTGGACCAGTTAATTCATTCCTCAAAACTTAAATTTCTTTTTCTTTTGCCACACTGTGTGGCTTGTGGGATATCGCTTCTCTGACCAGGGGTTGAACCTGTGCCCTCGGCAGTGAGAACATAGAGTTCTATGTTCAGACCACTGGACTACCAGGGAAATACAAAACTTGGTTTCTTCCCTAGTAGAATGGGCACGATAAGAGCTCCCCTCTGAAGGTGGTTACTGTATTCATTGATGTAATGCCTTGTGAAACACAGTCAGTGCCAGCTGACATGTGTCCACACAGTTCTCCATGGCAGGTCTGCTGTGTGCTTTCCCCATGGCCCTCGGAGCCTCCTTGCAGAGCTGGGACATCATTCTACCCTCACCCCGACTGAGCACCCGGGATTCCCAGAGGCTGAAGGAGATACTGAGAATCTTGGATCAGAACTTTTCTTTCCAGTTAAGCTGCCCTGAGTTTTATATTTATCCTAAGATTGAACAATGTTTCTCAAAAGATTTGAAATTTGAATTTCAACTCTGAATTTATAACCTCAGGAACAGTCTCCAGGAACATCCAAAGGAATTGCAAGAGCCTAGCAAAAAAAGTACCTCAAAATTAAAGATTCCTCTCTATTTCCATAAATCACGGTTATACCTATGGTCCCACGAGGCCTAGGAAAGCTTAAACTCTGCTATGTTATCCATATTGTATAGCACATGTAATATATTGAAACTGTTATTTTAACAAGGAGTCAGCATTTTAGAAGCTAGAATTTCAAAATATACCCTAGATAATTATTTTTCCTTTTCTCTACCTGTTAAACTGCATTAGTTCATTTTCACCAATAATAGAGGGCTGACTTTATACAGGACCTAGAGCAAGTAATGAGCCATTTCACACCTTTGTGTAAGTGAGAAAAAGGCGCTTCCTCCTCAGGACACTATGTTCCCATCTGCTTTAAACTGCTGTGCTATATTGATTTTTTAGAATAAGATTATTTTATTGCCATCTTCTGGGAAATCATTTTTATTTTTATTATATTTCATGCTTATTTAACTTATATACAGAGGACATCATGAGAAATGCTGGGCTGGATGAAGCACAAGCTGGAATCAAGATTGCTAGGAGAAATATCGACAACCTCAGATATGCAGATGATACCACCCTTATGGCAGAAAGTGAAGAACTGAAGAGCCTCTTGATGAAAGTGAAAGAGAAGAGTGAAAAATTTGGCTTAAAGCTCAACATTAAGAAAACTAAGATCATGGCATCTTGTCCCATCACTTCATGACAAATAGATGGGGAAACAGTGGAAACAATGGCTGACTTTATTTTTGGGGGCTCCAAAATCACTGCAGATGGTGACTGCAGCCATGAAATTAAAAGACGCTTACTCCTTGGAAGGAAAATTATGAACAACCTAGACAGCATATTGAAAAGCAGAGACATTACTTTGTCAACAAAGGTCCATCTAGTCAAGGCTATGGTTTTTCCAGTGGTCATGTATGGATGTGAGAGTTGGACTATAAAGAAAGCTGAGCGCCAAAGAATTGATGCTTTTGAACTGTGGTGTTGGAGAAGACTCTTGAGAGTCCCTTGGACTGCAAGGAGATCCAGCCAGTCCATCCTAAAGGAAATCAGTCCTGGGTGTTCATTGGAAGGACTGACATTGAAGCTGAAACTCCAATACTTTGACCACCTGATATGAAGAGCTGACTCTTTTGAAAAGACCCTGATGCTGGGAAAGATTGAGGGCGGGAAGAGAAGGGGCTGACAGAGGATGAGATGGTTGGATGCCATCACTGACTCAATGGATATGAGTTTGGGTAAACTCCGGGAGCTGGTGATGGACAGAGAGGCCTGGTGTGCTGTGGTTCATGGGGTCGCAAAGAGTCAGACATGACTGAGCAACTGAACTGAACTGACTGAACTGATAAGCACCAAATCTATGATACCCAATATATGATGTATCCCCCTCTTGTGCAGTGCCCAACCTGTACAATCATATGTGACAGAGGCTGTGAGGAGTAAAACATTGCCTAGGGAAATTCATGTGCTTGAATGTAGCTCTGTCTGGAGGGATTGTAACTCCTTGTCAGAAAGGTAGGATTTCATAACCATTATAATCACTATGACTTGTTTCCAAATGATTTCTGAGTTTACCCAGAGAAGATGTCATTCAAG